TTCAAGTTCTATTAAGCTGCCAATCCAGATAGTTCAAAAAGATAGATTGTAACTATACTTCTAGTTTACATATTCTCTGGCATGTACTCTTTTTCTTCAAAATCTGAAAATTCTAATGGCCTGATTGGTTCATCTAGTTCCTTTCTAAAAACCAGCATATTTGTTCAGCTTTATGAGTTCTAGCTTTGTTTTATAGGTTTAGTCTTTACAATAACATTATCAAAAGTTCAGATTATCTCTCTACTTAGATCTTTTAAATAGGCTTCTGTCTTTTTATCTGATTTCTGTGATTTATATGATCTAAGAACTTATTATAAGTTCATATTGCCTAGTACTGATTTGTGTTCTTTTGTACAATATTGTATAAATGCCTAAACTTTTTAGTTATACTAATATGATACAGGTTACAAGTATTTAATCCCAACCAATCACCAAAGACAGTTAACCATAATACAGAAAGAATTATAAATTTTTACTATTACTAGAATTTGAACTCTAAACCTGCTATTTGGAAGTTGACAACCTATTTACTTCACTAGGTTGTTATATTTTTAATAAAATTATTAATAATAGTTTTTAAACTAATATAATTAATAAACAAACTATAACTTTTTTAATGATTATTAGAATCAAACTTTCTAAAAAACTAAACTACAAAAAAGTATTATAGTTAATATATTAAACTTTATAATAGTTTTTTTAAAATATTAATATAAATAGCAGATGTTAGAATAAAGTTGAAAAAGAAGTTATCACTTTTGATAATAGTTTAAAGTACTTAAAAACTATAAAACAAATAATTAGTAAAAGCTAAAAGTAAATTTACTTATTTCTGCAAGTGATACAAGCCCAAAAAGGAAATGATTGTCATTTCACTAAAAGTATATAAGATTTAGATTTGATTAGCATTAGAGTTAGAATTAAGAGTTGGTATTAGAAAGATCATATAGTAAAATCTGAACAGAAATTTTTTTTATTAGAATGTAAAATGTAATTTTCTAAACAAACTTTTGAGTTATCAGTGATGTTTTAAAAATCCTTTAATCTAATGTTATATGACAATTGCATCTGATCTTGCGATCTATATAGAAAAATTTCTTTTTTGGGTTTGTATTACTTGCTAAAATAAGTATACACACAAAAGTTTCTTATAAAATAAATAATAGAGTTAGATATATTAATTTTATATAACTATAAAACTTATAAGAAACAAAAATAAAGAATTCACAGAAGCTAAAAGTTTGGTTCACATATTATCTTTTTTTTTAAAAAAAAATTTATAAAAAATAAATAATTTAGCTTATCTTTTTTAAAAAATTAATACATAAAATTACTAAAACAATTAGCAGTATTTACTTTTTAATTAAGATTATAGAAACAATATAACAATATAAATATAACTTATACATATGCCTCAAACTGTAGAAATTTTATGAAGTACTGCTTTTAAACTAACTAGTGTCTTATGTTAACTTTTTATATTTAAGTCAAAATTTTATTCTATATAGTTTTTGTTAAATATTTTAAATAAATAAAAAAATAGCAAAGTTATTTTAATTTAATATAGTCTATAATTTTTAAAAACCTAATATAGGCTTATAATTATGATTATTTAATTTTTTTTTTAATATTAAAAATGAAGCCATGATTCTATTTTTATTAAAATTTAGTTAAACTTTTTACAAATAAAATATATAAAAAAAAATTTATATTTAAATTTTATATTTATATAATATTAAGATTAAAAACTCAAACAAATTATTTGCAATCTAAACCTACTAAGATGGCTAAGGCTTATTTAGATTTCAGAGTTTATAATTATAATAAAAAGGTTCATTTAATATTTGATCTATTTAAGGTATTATATTTCAATTTTAGAATTGATGATTAAAATAATGCATATTAAGTTATTATATTTTTGAGAAATATAAAATATTAAAATTAATTAAAATTGTTTATTAGATTGAGGTCTAGAAGTGCAATATGATATCCAAATTTAAGTATAAATTTGTTAATTAAGATAAAGCAGTAATTTAATAAAGAATATAATAACGATTTTAGTAAATAGAGTAATATCTTTAATTGAATAGATTAGAATATAAAAAATTAAACTAAATAGTGTTTATAATAATAAAGATAAGTTATATATATTATAATTTTGCATACAGTTAAGATTTTTAATTTGGTTATATAGATTGAATATAGCTCTTAATAGTGTTTATAGGTTCTATACTAGCTATCATATCTGTAATTTGCTAAAAGATTATCTAATTAAACACTCTTATCCTTATATTATACTTGACAGATAATGCACAAGTTCTCATATATCTAAGTACTATCTAATTTAACTTTGACCTCTTTGTTTGTATATTTGTCAAGTTGTATATATTTTAGAGTATGTTATCTAACAATAAGGCTTCAAAGTATCTTTTTGCTAACTAATTACTTATAGTTAATCTTTAGTTAACAAGACTTATTTTTATAAAATTTACTCAGATCTTAGTATTAACTTTATAGCATATTTCTAATACTTATAATATATATCTGCTTTATTTTTAGACTCTTAATTTAGATAGTCCAGAAGGACTATAATCTGTATATTGAGGTTTTATTTTTTAAGATTTTTTTTTTTAGTTTAAGACTTCTAACAGTTTGTTTGGTAATACCTCTTATCTGTGATTCTTATCTGCCTAATTTCTTCATATTAATATTTATTTTCTAGGTGTAGCCTTTACATTAGTACTGTTAACAATCTGTATTACTTTTCTACTTTGGTCTTCCTAAATAGGTTTCAGCTTTTCAGTTTTGCAAATTTATACAACTACAAGAACTTATTTTGAGTTTGCATTGCCTGATGCTAATTTGTATTTTTTTGTATAACTTTAATATTATACAGATGCTCTATAACCTGTCAATTATGCTGATATAACTATAATTACAGATAACTTATCTCAACTAATTAACAGAATACTATTATCATAATATTATCTATATATTACATAAGTGATTATTCAAATTTTTACTATCTATAGGTTTTAAACTTATAACTTACTACTTGGAAATTGACAACATATCTACTTCACTAAGTTGCTATACCTTTTCTATAAATAAGATGTTAAGAAGATATGAGAATAAGCAGATAGTTTAGTAAAATAAAGTACTAATTTGGTTGCATTAGTAATAATTAGAAGATAGAATATAATTAGCAATGTTGTCAATTTATTGTTCTATTAATAAAAATTATATTCATTTCTAATTTCTATTATTTTATTCTATTACTTTATTATTTTATTTATTTATTTTTATATTAATATCTAATTATAATTTTATTAATAATTTTTTATTTTATTGATAAAATTTTTATTCTATTCTAAATTCTATTATTTTATTTTATTGTTCTATTGTTTTATTTATTTATTGTTATCAATACTAGTGATTATATTTATATAGGTTGTATAAAGTTAAAAAATCATTTAAAAAAATTTTTATATAAAAGAACTTAAGCAAAAATGTTTGAAAACTATAAAATAGTTTACTATTTTTTGATTATTGTTAATATAAAGCCAAATAGCTTTCTAGTTAATTTGAGTTGCAATTTAGAACTATTTTTAAAGATAATGTTAAGATAACTATAGTGCATAAATATATGTATAACAAATTATATAAATGCAGCAACAAATAGATAGTTTAATAAATAGTTGTTTAATTAAAATATATAATTAGGATTATAAATTGAATAATAAGTATAGAAGATTAAAATAATTGTGAACAAAGTTGTTAGTAAGGTTATTGAATTTATTGTTCTAATATGCAACAATTTTGTAAAAAATAAGTTATATATTATATAAATTTATAAAATTAATTAAAATGTATCAAAAATAAATAATATAAAGTATTAATAAATAAAAGTTTAAATAATATTAAACTAGTGCTATTATATTTGGATATGCCAGATTATAAATTAGTATAGATATGTACTGTACAGTTTCTAGATATAGTAATAATAGCAGAGATAATGCAGATATTTTTGCTTTAAAGGAACATGATCAAATTTAATTTGTATTTAAAAAATATAAATAATATTATATTTTGTACTAAGATTCATCCAATGTCTATCAAGCATTGAAATATGCCAACTTGTATAACTAATTCATTAGTATAGAAATGCAATTCAAATTTGTTAAGATTTGAATTAACAATTAATTGTAAAATATTAGTAAGACAGCTAGTATCAAAAATAAATAAAAAAATATAATAAGTATATTGATATTAGCAGAATTAGAAGTTTGAGTAAAATGTTAAATAGCAATAGAGTAAAGCAGATTAAGATAGTTTGCATTAAGATTAAGTTATTGGTTTTGGGTATTAAACTTTTCAAAAAATTTAATTGTCAAATTAATAAGAATAAATATTATTTATTTATGAGCAATAAGATTAGAGTTAAAGCTATAACCAGTGCATTGTTTGGTTGTAATTGGAGATATTGAATATAGGTATATAGTATTGAGCTCGATATTGCTATGCCAGTATGTAATAAGTACTTGGTCAGAAAAAGTTGGTTGTTTTCAAGTTTTGTCTATGATAATTTGGTCATAAAATATAGTAATAAGCTATAGTTTAAGGGGTATGGGAATACTATTTTATAGAAAAACTTTATACAGTGGTAAACAATAAAGCAAGCAAAATTGTGTTATGACAAAGTATTAATATATATATCTAATAATTTTTTTTGTAATATCACTTTCTTATTTTATTAAGAATATTAAATGTCTATTGCTACAAGAAGTTTTTTTTTTGTTTTCACAAGATCGAATTATTTATAATTTAAAGTTAACAATATTGCTAACGAAAGAATACAAAGGAGGAAAAAAGTAGATAAAAATACAGTAATGTTTCGAAAATTAGATATAATTATTATTAGATAACACGTCCATAATAATAAATTAATTACATATTGTCACAGAAAAATAGTTTTCTATGTAGTTTTTTTTTTTGTGTTTTCATACCTTTTCATTTAATAGTTCAACATTATTAGCACCTGATTCAGCTTGATCATTTCGCGCAATCCCATTCATTTTATATTGCTTTATAAATGAGGAAAATACCAACCCGATAATAGCCATGAAAATACAAATTCTGAAGTTAGTGGCGATCGCATCACCAATCGGAGTTAATATAAGATTTTGATCATTGGATGAAAGTTTTCCAATGTTTGTCAGAAAAAGGGCATCATTTAATGATGATTTTATCGGAAAATTTGAAATATTTGATAAATCATATAAAATTTTGTTATTAAACATTGCTCCAGAAATTGATATGCCAAAGACCCATCCACTCATTCTGAAAAAATTACATAGTTCATTTACGGTATTTTTTTCGCGATTTTTCACAGCCATTTGTGCGGGCTTAAATAAGATCATTGAAAATGATCCAATTCCAATTCCAATCACTACAAGAGATATAACTCTAAATGTATATCCCGTATATAAAGTAAAGGTTGATAACAAAGCACTTCCTGCTATTGTAATAAATAATCCACAGAATATAACCCATCGATAGTAGCTAGTAAAATTTACACTAACTCCTAAAAATAATACAATGCTTGTCACTAATGGTAAGAGAGCTATAGCGGATGATGTTGCAGTCAAACCATGTACATATTGAAGGTATACAGGAGAGTAGTAGATAACAACGGCTTGGATCCATCCCAAGAAAAAGAACGTGCCAAATACGGCACGATGACAAGAATCAATAAATAGGTATTTAGGAAAGAGTGGTTCTTCAGCACATTTTATCTCGAAGATGATAAAGCCCAGCAGTAGAATCACACCTATCACTAGCATTATAATTATAGGAATGCCAAACCAATCTAGTTGGACACCACCATAATTTATCGATAAAAAAACAATTAGAAATCCCGACGCCAGCAGGACAAATCCTAGCCAATCTACAAGTCTTAACTTGGCAAACACCGGATCAATTGGTGCGTAAAGGATTGAAACAAACCATAATGATATAATGGGTATAATTGACAATACACCATTCATATAAAATGACCACCTCCAAGACAAATAATCAGCGAATAAACCACCAATAATCGGACCTAAAACCAATCCAGATGCAAATGCAAATTTGACAGAATTATTGAAAGGATTACGTTGAAGAGCAGGAACAACATCCGATATAATGGTAAATACAGTTGGTATGATAATTCCACCACCTAATCCAATTAGAGCTCTTGCGCAAATTAGCCATTGAATATTTTGCGCAGCACCACATAATATCGAACCGGATCCAAAAATAAATATTGCCACGAGTGATACTAACTTTCTTCCAAAAATATTTGAATATTTCTCGCATAAAGGTTGTAGTACCGCCTTTATAATAATTAGAACAACAAATATGCATGGTATTAATATATTTTATGGATAATTATTAGATACTATCATTAAATAAATCTTACTAATACTTACACCTGCTATACTGTAAGAAGTAATTATCCATGAAATATCTTCACCTGCTTTGAAATCGGTAACGATTTTAGGAATTTGATTTGCTATTTTAGTTATGTCAAATATTACTAAAAAGAATGCCAGTGATAACCTAAATCATTTTTTTTTTGAATTTAAGTGAACTAAATAATTTTAATGAAATATAAACATTATGAATAATAATTATAACTTACCCGGTTAATAATAGAAATTTGTCACGGTTATTAAGATATAGTATAGTCGACTCTTTAGAGATCCTTTTTGATGATGTTTTTGATGAAGTAGGAGAAAGAACATCTTTTTCAGAAACTCTCTTTGAAGATATCGGTGAATCTATCCCACCAACTTCAGTAGTGCTATCACTTTTAGAAGCTGTATCACCTCTTCCTACATAAGATACTTTTGATATTCTTCTATAATTATCTTCCTTATTTATTTCTTTTACAGTATCTGTTGTTTCTTCTATGATTACATCCCTTGATAAATTCCGTCTACTATGAGGATTTGTATTTAAAATTAAATTTATACGATGGTCTTTACTTATCCGATCATCTTCAGTAATCTCTGATGATGTAAACCATCTTTCATCGGTTGATTTTCCTGAAAAACGATTATTCACATTTACTTGTTCTATTGGTGATCCACCTGAAGTTGTTACTGGAGATGTTATAGTGTCTTTTTCTATATGATCATAAGAATCTGCTACAAAAGTATTTGTTCCTGAAGAAGGTTCAACAGTATGACGATACCTCGGAGATTCAGATGATTGATTTGATTTTGGGGTAGAACTATACTTTGGAGATTCCGAAGTTTCTATTATTGGATTTAAATTTGATTGCGATGTAGATTTTTTTATCATGGATTCAAATTCTCTTATTTTAGCTGCTACAGCTACATCATTGACTGCTTGTCGATTCATCATAGATGGTTTTGAAGTATTTGATGTAAAATTAAATTCATGAATATTACTAAAATCCATGGTTTGCCTACCAGGACCGAAAGGTGTTGACGGTGTCGTAAAAAATGGAGTTGTAGTAGGTGAAGTTGCTATATCATCTGGTCGTAATTTTGGGTCAAAATGATTAGTCATTGCAGCCTGTTTTATCGCATTTATCAATAAATTACAGGTAGAGTCTTGAGGTGTCATATAAACTGATTGCATTGGAGAAATTACAGAGTCGATAGACATTGAATGATCATGTAATTTATCTCTCTTTCTAAATTCATTTTTGTTTACATTAAATTGGTCTGCATTAGAGTCTTCAGGTTGGTTTTTTTGATTCATATTACCATTTACGACACCAACTTCTGGAGTTATTTCAAAGAAAATGTCCCCTTCACTCCCTTGAGAAGACTTTGGTGTATGATGAACGGAGAAAGACATAAAAGTTTCAATTTTACCGAGTTGGTAAAAATTACGGTAAGACGAGGGCTACAAAATATTTCAGGGCAGTAAATAAGGGAGGGGTGAGAAGGTTATCAATGTGAAAATTAAATATATATATTATTTATTTTTTTATTATTTTTTAATTCTTTTTTTATTATTTATTTTTTTGGGGGTTCAACGCACATCAAGTGCTGTTGTATCGATGAGAAATATCTAAACTAGCTCTCTTGTCTAACAGGAAAGAGAGGCAAGTTGGTGAAAAACTGCTTCTGATGGTATGCCTGCAGTTAAGTAACAACATTGTAATGAATACATATAAATAAATGTATATACTGTACGTTGAAAATGATGATAAAGCACAAAAAAATATTTCTATCAATAATATTATTAGCATTAAAAATGTACTATAATAAAAAACGAGTAATATACAGGTCATACATTAATTTATTTCCCAAATTTATTAAAGTTGGGCAAATGCAATAAATGCAAACAAATGCAAACACTACAATCTCCACAATGTTAAAATAGGACTTGTATGTAACATCACGTGATCAATTTAGTTAAATAAAAAATATTTATAGCATAAGACAATATGATGTGAGTAGTTAAAAAACATTGGGTTTAAAGTTTAATGATGAGATTTGACAACTGATAAAGTTAGCATTCTTTATGTTCTTTCATTCTTTATTATTAATATGGAAAGTGTTTCAGCTACGGTTTAAATCCTTGCCGAAATTATACTTTGTATAGGCAAGAGCCGAAAAAAATTCACCAAAATTGTAAATCTGCAATGAAGGGACACTGACCAATCATGTTCATGTTACACATATACACAGATTGATGTAACTGTATAATTATACAGTACAGTCTCTACATCCTCGGTAAGTACGTATAATAAATATACTAATCTATAATAGTATATATAATAATCGTGATCCACGACTCATTGGAAAATCATTAATATTATTGATTGTTAACCATTGGTAATACATATGGTGTTCGTTAAATGTTTAACCTGTTTTGCTAGCAAACTTTTTTAAGTCGTCCTCCTTAAATACACTAATAAAATAATAAGAGTTTTATTAATCAAGAACCATATTGAGCTTTGTAAAATGAGGGTGGTAAATTTTCCAAAATAGTAGCAAATGGCCTTTCTACCACTATCATAGTATTGGGTTCGATAAAATCAACATACATTAATGAGCGATATCTATAAACAAGTTGAAAATTATTCATTCTTTCAGTTCTGGCCCTTTTTATAATTTTTTCAGTTTTGTCCCTTTTTCTCTTTTTTGTTAGACCATTCTGTTTTGGTACTTGTTCAATTGCTTTATTTTTTGGTTTTTCCCGCAATCCTGTACACGTAACCAAATGTGGTTGATGCCCTTTATCTTTACGACATTTGTCAAAATCAACATGACAAAAATAATTAGCACCCCAAAGTATAATTGCATCATTATTTGCAGGATTAAATGCGCAACCAACAAGCCTATTTTCTAAATTGAGAAATGTTTTTGGTAGACTTTTGGAATACGTTAGTGACCAATCATCAAGTTTTTGTGATTCAATGTCATAAAGGAAAAATTCATTGGAAGATAAAGTGATCACAAGAGTAGGTTTTGTTGGATAAAAAGCCAATGTTGTGTGAGTTGAAGAGAATTCGGGAAGTGTTGAATGAAGCTGAATGATGTTTTACGTTTTAATTTTAAAAAATTGGTATAAGTACTTAATCTTATTAAATTAAATACATCAATTGTTTTGTAACCATAAATTATATCAGGATTTACCTTAAGAGTTTCTAAATTATACACGCTAATTCTGTTCAAAAGATCACCTACTGCAAGCCATCGACTATCGCCGCTCACAGCTATAGAGCTGACAACCGTTGTATTTCCATCAAGTGGTTGAGCATGTTCATAAAATTGGTTAAGTATTTTAATTTCTTTATAATGACAATTGTCGAGTTCAGCAATTGTTATTGAAGAGTCATTATGAACTATCACAAGTTTTTTTCCGTTCAAAGTGAACAAAAGGTGATGTGCTCCTGCAGAACAACCGTTCATAAATATTTTTGGCAATTGGACCTTTTTAACACCAACACGGTCCGGATTTTCGATCTAAAAGTTCAGTTCAGCATATATGAGTTAGGAAAAAACATATCAATTTTCATTTGAACTTGATAGAAATTTGACAATAACGTACATCGTTTTGGATTTTAAACACTTTTATTGTTTCTACATCAGAAACTGCAATCCATTCACCATCTTCCGACAACGCACTTGCCATGAGATGATTATTACCCTGTGAATTAAAAAATACGAATATAGTTTGGCGATGCTGGTTTATGTTTCACATACTACTGTGTTTATTTCTTACCTTCAAGGTCATTTCCAAAATTGCTTTCTGTGGTTCAATTAAATCCAGGTTTGGAATCTGTTCAAGTTGCCAAGAGTCCTGTAGTTTGGCTGATGCATTATTTGAAACATTCCAATAAGATCAATAAAAATAGCGTAGCATTGAAATACTTTTAGTTGCATTATATCCTTACCACTACCCAATCTCCACATCTTGATCTGATTAATGCTTCGATACATCAAAAGCTTTTTTGATTTTGAAATACTGATCAAAGGTTTTTGAGGAATAAAAGGTAGTCGTTGGAGTTTGTCTTCGGGAAAACTATCAAAATGTGAAACCAAAATTGAAGTATCCACGCCTAGATAAACATATACATATTTATGTATTTATTAGATTAATTCAATAAGATGAATAGAAAAACAAATTCATTATTAAATAAATTACAAGTTTAAATATTAACCCCCAGAAACAAAAAATTTATCATTTAAATCCTCTCTTAAAGCAATTGCTTTTACATCATGTAAATGTGTTCTTCGAAACCCCACCAAAATCCAATTATTTTCATTTGAATCAGCATCATTAGATGATTGTGCAGTGAAATGGTCGGTCATACGAAATAAATTACATTTACGATCTACTCCAGATGAAAAGACCATAGTACCTTCCTATTAAAGATGAAAAAACAAGGCAAGAACAGGAATCAAACATTAATCGCATCAATTAGGCTATATTCGTAACAAAAAAAATTCTTTACATGAAATCATAATGAAATAATAACAAATGCATTACTTTATTTGACACCAAGCATAGCGCATCTGCATCATGTGCTTTAAATTTTTGTAACATAGTGCCATGTTCACTATCCCAAAAACAGATGTTGCCTAACGAATCGCCACTAACGATTGTGCCATCTCTGAGATTATATTGATTCAGGAATGCAAGATAAAAAGAATATATATATATGCAAAAATAATTGTAATTACATTTGATAAAAAGAATATTCACAATACTCACTTAAGGATATTAATCGCCCAAACTATATTATCTTTGCCTTTGATAGTATCCACAGTCATCCTTTGAATTACTCGTGCTGTATTCCAGATGTTAAAAAACGTAAGCTTAGATAAAAGTATGTAAAGATTGAATTATTTCATAGCACTCTCACCGTTATGAACATCCCATTTAATAATATTACTATCAGATGAGCCAGAAATGATAAATTTGTCATCATGATCCCAAGCCAGTGCCATAACTTTGGCATCATTTCTCATGAGGGTTTTAATTAGAACTAGCCCATCATCATTAATGTCAAAGATGCGCAGTCCTCCATCATCACAACCGATAGCAAGTAATGTATTTGCATTATTTGTCGACATACACCAAACAGCTCCTCCATGCGAATTGGTCGAATTCTATTATTTATCATCGTTATTATTGATTATTTCCGATGTAATTGTTTAAACGCGAATTAATAAGTGATAATAATAATAATCATAATAATAACCTTGCTTTTCAATAGGTTTGTATCCCATTCTGTGATTAACCCATTTGAGCTAGCAGAAAATAGTCTAGGAGGCTTGTCTAAACACTCTTCTTGTTTTTCCATAGTTTGAGAGTGATAGTTATCTGTTTCTTTTGAGGCAGTCTGATGCACCCAAGTTAAAGCTTCAACAGACGTGTTTTTTGCACCAGGAATTATCTTTGAAAAACAAAGAGGACTGTTAGTTAGGATAGGTTAAAAAGACGCGTAAGAATTACCGAGGTAGTTTTGATTTTTTTTTAAAAAAACCTTTTCTAAATTCCAACGTTGAGTGGGATTCCATATTTCAATCTCACCATTGGCTCGACCACATGCAAGGAGTGGCTGGGTTGATAATGGTGTAAAAGCCAAAGCATTGATCGTTGCAGGTGTATATTCAACGAACCGACATCTATGAACATACATTTTTTTTATATTAGCTAGAATTTTCGTGAACTGATTTTTTTTATCGGTATTCCGAAAGTAGAAACAGATAATGCATAATGCAGATGATTTTTGATTGGTTGGTTTTTTTTTTTAGAGATATATCTGACGGATGACAGTGACGAAGTTTTCTTTTTTATTATAATATAATGGACAACGAAGGGAGATCTTGCGTTTATGGACTAAGGCACCAAGTACTTTTCTTTTCTGATTTATCGGATCTTATAATTTTACAAACGCACATATCTTAATGTGTGAACCATTTCTGTTACGCATAGACAAGGTGCCTTACAGCAGTTATTGCTGAAACAGAACAGAATAAATTTCTAGTTGGATCTCAAACTCTTAAACGGGATAATGAGGTTCTTTTTTCATATTATATATTTTGAGCTTGTACAGTAGTGTATTAAATTTTTTCGTTTGACAGTTAGATTCACCTAATTAACTTTCACGAAGATGAGTTCGAAATAACCAGTACCATTTATCAGCATTTGGAAGAAGTGTGGGATATTTCCGCATGTCCTGCGAAAAGTGATCTTTTTTTTACGTGTTATAAAACATGTTAGTTCACAATGACCTTTAATTATTTTTGTTTCAGTCATTAATATGTGACTGATATTTTATTCTGTTTTTTATAAAGTTGATTCGATGTCATCCCATACGAAGGCTAAATTATGGCGAATGAACAATTCAGATGCGATTTCAGAAGATTATGAAAACGGATCTCGTCCTCCGAGAAGTGCATCGCATTTACCATTGGAAAATATTTTTGAAATTAAAGAGGATGATACTATTAAAAAGTAAGTAAATGGTATCAGTTTGCAGGACTCTCCGAATCATGATATAAAATTTATCGCGTATTATAGAGTCCTGTGGGATCCCAAGAAAGATCTGACGAAATTTGTATCTATTCATGATTCCTCATTACGTATTTGGGCATTTGACGAACAGATGACGTCAGCAGAGGTATTAAAAAAAAGTTTTTTTTTATTTATTGATTTTTAAGAATTAGTCAATTATAATTTGATTTCAAACGTGTACGATTATAAAAAAATAGATCTCTCACACAGTTGATTTTTCTTCAACGAACGAGCTTTTACCACCATTAACAACTGGGATATGGAATCCAAATCAACCAGAAATTGCTATAGGAAAGGAATGCTCTGTGCAAGGTTTGGACCTTCGATCACAAAGGTGGGTAAAAATAATAACCCGAGCTCAATGACCAATTCCAATAACTAAACATGTCAACCATAATTGCTTTTTTTTTAAGTCAAACGTTTGACATCAACGGAGCACACTCTATACTTGTTCGTGCGTTAGATTACAATCCGAATAAGCCATACCAAATTGCATCAGCTGGTGACGATTGTAAGATCAGATTCTGGGATCTTAGAAATACTACAAATTGTCTTAAACAAATTTCTGACCATACGCATTGGTAATGATTGAATATTATATTTATTAGTCATATTTCAATTTACGTTTCAAATGGTATAACCTATATTTTTTTTGTTATCAGGGTGTGGGCTATAGCGTATAATCGGTTTCATGATCAGCTTTTTTTAAGTTCTAGCTCTGATTGTCAAGTAAACCTTCACAGTATTGTATCCATCTCTTCCGGCGCGTTTCAATATGATGAACGCGAAAATGATGATGAATCAGAATACGAATATCATGATCGATTAGGGTATATAATCTTTATAATTTTTATGTTTATTAGTATATTATAACTATTATAACATTTTATTCAATTACCATGCAATCATCAACAATAGAAAGCCAACTGATGGATTAGTAAGAGCTTACGATCAACATGAAGACGGTGTTTATGCGGTTGCTTGGAGTGCTTGTGACCCATGGGTATTTTGTTCATTGTCTTATGACGGAAGGGCAGTTATTAATAGAGTACCAAGTGAAGAAAAATATAAAATTATTTTATAATAATATACATGAATTAAACCTTTTATATTAAAATTTTTGTAATAATAAAACGAGTTGAAATTTTTTATATTAAATACTTATTTAAGTCGTGATTGAATTCATATAAAATAATATATTCAAGGGGATGCATTGCAGGTCTATGGAAAAAGACTATTGGTGCGACCTACGATAAAGCAGTTACGACATACTAAAATATTTTTATATTAAAGTTTATAAATAAGTGTGTCGTACGCAAACATTACTGTATGCATTATTACTATTACAATTTTTTCGACGACAGCCTGTAACCCATACAGTTTGATCACTAGGAAACTAAGCAAACATTAAATAAACTTGTTAAATTGATTGGTTTCTTTTAATTCCAAAGGTGTTATTAATATGATTTGGAACACATGTTTGCTTTTTGTGGCCTGTTTGTGCAATCTGTAACTTCGATATTCTGGCCAACCCAAACCATGTTTAACCAAATTCTTGCCTCCAGACTCACCCTCAAAAAAATTTCAAACCTTTTTTTAGCCCCTTTGCAAAAAAACTACTGTCCTGTTTCCATTATTGTTGTGTCTTTTCGCCAACTCCATACACTCCTTCAATAGATTAAGAATAAAGTTAATCTAATATTTCCACACTTCCTTATTCTCCTTTCCGTATTAATCCTAACCACCCATTAACATAGTCTTCAAAAATAATGTCCGGTACGTAATTTTAACTCTTCGATGCAACTACAATTTAGAATCTAAACAGTAATATGTAAACCTTTGAAAAGGAATCTTTTTTACTTCATGTTCTCGGTTATGGCTTTATCAAACTATTATTGTTAACTTCTTTAAAAAGTCTATTCTGTCATCTGTCTTCATCTTTGTTTAAACCCAATTTTTGCCTACTTTCTTGTTTGTGAACTTAGAACGCTTCAAAACTAACATAATTTAGAACAAATATGTCAGATTTAGTACTCTGTCGTTTCCCTTTCGCTTCATATACCTAGTCACAAGATATCTCGTTTTATTCAAGTTTAATTAATTTTGCAAACTTTTTCCGTTCTTATTTTCGAACAGATAATTCCGCTAGTGCCCCGAACACAGGTCTAAAAGTATGCATTAATTTTTGTCACGTTTGTGTATTGAAGAAATTTTGGAATTGTTCATTAAAAGTTTCCACGATAATTTAACGTGACTTCATTTGACCTTCCATTGTTTAGACGGCCATTAGTGCTGTTATTCGAAAAAAACTTCAAGGATATGTAGGATTTGCCAATCTTCCAAACCAAGTTCATAGAAAATCCGTGAAAAAAGGATTCCATTTCACAGTGATGATAGTTGGTCTGTCTTTATAGTAAATATCTTTTTTCATTATAGTATTAAATTGTATCTGATATCAGTAAACACCTTCTTTAGGCGAATCCGGTCTAGGAAAATCAACCCTTGTCAATACTTTGTTCGGCACTACGCTCTACCCTAATAAAGGTGAAGCGGAACCATCAGATGAAACACCAAAAACTGTAGAAATCCAATCTCTAAGTGCAGGTTACTTTTCTATGTTTAAATTTCATTTATATTATCTTAAAATCATTGGATTTTTTTCTTACGATAATAATTTTATTTTATAGATATTGAAGAAAATGGTGTCAAATTAAGACTCACAGTCGTTGATACTCCTGGATTTGGTGATTTTGTTAACAACGAAGAAAGGTAAATGTAATATTGTAACGTTTGTATAAGTACTATTCAATTCACATCCATATATATATTTATTATTAGTTGGAAACCAATTCTTGAAAATATTGAGGCACGTTTTGATGCATACCTTGAACAAGAAAACCGTGTAAATCGTCGTAAGATGGTTGATAATCGCGTTCACGCTTGCATTTACTTCATTGCTCCTACCGGTCATACGTAAGTATCAATCATAGGATAATTGAATAAATAGAATAAACGACATTCTTTTCCTTATATTCTTTGTCAATCATATTTTTTTCTTTAGGCTCAAACCTTTAGATGTCGAGTTCATGCGACGGCTACATACCAAAGTCAATCTTATTCCAGTCATTGCAAAGTCAGACACGTTGACTGAAGATGAAATTAAACAATTTAAACAACGTATTCTAGACGATATTGCCTATCATAAGATTCAAATTTATCAAGCACCACAATATGAATATGATGATCATGAAACCGTAGCCGAAAACCGTGAAATAATAGTGCGTTTAAGATTAGATATAATTATATATAATTCAATATAATTTTGTTTATTATTATAATACACGAATTTGTTACATTATTCTTATTTTTATATTGAATTATAATAGAGCAAGATTCCATTTGCTATTGTCGGTAGTGACAAAGAAGTCGAACTTTCCGATGGCCGTCGCGTGCGTGGACGTAAATACCCATGGGGAGTCATTGAGGTCGACAACGAAGAGCATAATGATTTTGTAAAGCTTCGACAAATGCTTATTCGGTTAGTTTTATTAAATTTTTAATACTTATAATCTACTAATAATTTTAAGTTGAATTTTTTATTTATTATTATTATTATTATTTTTAGAACTCATATGGAAGAACTTAAAGAATATACTAATGATGTACTCTATGAAAATTATCGATCCGAAAAACTTGTTACTATGGGTGTGCAACAAGATCAAACCGTTTTCAAGGAAGTAAATCCACTCGCCAAGATGGAAGAAGAACGACAACTTCATGAAGCCAAGCTACAGAAGATGGAAGCAGAAATGAAAATGGTATTCCAGCAGAAAGTCCAGGAGAAAGAGGCTAAATTGAAACAATCTGAAGAAGAACTATATGCCCGTCATAAGGAGATGAAGGATGCTCTGGAGAAACAACGTCTAGAATTAGAAGAAAAAAAGAGACGATTGGAGTCGGGTAGACCAATTACCCCCGAAAAGGCAAAGAAAAAAGGATTTTCGTTTAATAACAAATAAATGAAATCCAGAAACTTAATTACGATAAAATACCTTCTCCCATCTGACAAACGGAATAGAGTATTGCATACTCAATGTTACTCTTAAATGTTTGAATGATTCTATTGGTTAATTAAAGAAATTATTTATTATTGGTCACAAGGAAGTCATATGTTTATTTAGTTATTGGTTTATATTTGGTTTATTATCCTTTTTTATTAGTTTATTCCTTTTTTATTAGTTTATAGTTAATTTTGGCTTAATAAATGAATAAGAACATATCACATAGAATGTAATCGTTAATATTCTGCATGGCTTGGTTTAACATTGTCTTTAAGTAAAAGAATTAGATATGCCTATTAAGAAAATCCTTACTCAGGTAATGATCCCCGTGATCTTACCTGGGGATTATTAAATTATACTTGATTATCACAATCATTATTAATGTATACAGTACCCTGGTATTTTCAAATACCAAGAAAAGGTAATTAATACAAATTGGTCATTAAACAATGATAAAAAATAGATAGTTTTGGATACACATATGTCGTATCTGAAGTTGCCACCTATCTGAAGTTGCCACCTATCTGAAGTTGCCACCTATCTGAAGTTTCCACTTTAGATATTTAAAATAGCACTTGACTAGAATTAATCTAGTCAGGTGCTACTTTAGATATCTACTCTAGATAAATCGTAACTTCATATCTCGATGAATTTCGAAGCTATTCTTATTATTGAGTAGTCAAAAGAAAGCTTATATCTTAAGCTTTCATTTGACTATTCATTCATGAGAATGGCTTCATATTTGAGTTGTGAAAGTTAAGGTATTACTTTTATTCAAATGACAATCCGCTTGATTTTTATATTCAACAATTATTTGGAACATTATGAAATCAGATTAAAATTAAATAAAGGGTTTCTATTTGATCCCCCAAACCCACTTACACGTGTTTATTAACCTCTACCTTAAACCCTAATCATACTCATTTCTGTAACGTTGAGTATAGGGATATGTTACATAAATTACAATTTTACATTACAAAATCAAATTTCATGTAATTTCACGTCACACGAAGTTCAGTCGTTCTCCCATACAATCACACAGTTGGGCACATAGTAAAGTTTTTCAAAATGTGCTTACATGGAGTTTTTTTTTCTTATAAATTAAACCATAGTTTGGCTTAAATATAATGTGATTACATATAATGTGATTATATAGATGACTATATGGATGGACGACTGTACCAGATTTGCAAAAAGTTTGGCCAGCGTTATTGCATCATTTGATTTGAATGTACAATCCGAATCGCCGAAAATTTGATCTCAAAAACTAAATGCCATGTGTTCATGAAATTTCAATTTATCGCAAAATTTAGTTGAGTATTCGGGCAAAATTTTTAAATTGAAATATCGATGTTTATCAATTTAAATTATTAAGATAAGAATAGATTTTTGAAACTTTGAACGAGAATACAGCAATATGGTCCAATAAATTATCAAAGTTTGATCGATACGGACCCATCTGATTTCATTTTAATCCGTCACAATGCTGGCAGGTGCAATAATCATGTGTCAGTGCATTAGTTAATATAAAACATGCATACGCACAATTTTGTGTAATTTTATTGCCAAAATAAGTAATATATGAGTCAATAAAAAAAAGAAAATTCAACAAGCTATTATTAAAATCAAGAATTCATTTAAAGAGAAAACTTGCGTTCACCTCGTTAAGGCAAAAATATTAAGCAAAATTTTAAATAGCTTTTTGGAGTAAGCACCAAACGAAGTTTTATACTGTGTGACATTAGCGACGATCTAATATGTATATAGAACGAGTCATTCAACATGTTGATTCTGAAACCCCAATATATTGAATAATAATTTGAGCGCTTCTTCAACTAATAAATCTAATTAATAAAAAAATTGGAAAATACTATTCTGTCTGATGCAAATATTGTTCTAAGCATTGGCAAAGAAGAATACCAATGATAATTGTTCAGAAAATATACAAAAATATTGACAAAATAAACTTTATAATTAAATAATAATTTAAATTCTTATTTGTTGTAAATAGCTAAATAAAATTTTTAGTTTTTATTTTATTATAAAATATATATGTTCAAATAAATTTGTTATATTTTATTTTATTACAAGTATATAATGATAATTTATATTTTGATAGTTTTATGTTTTTAATTTAAGTCTTAAAAATATAAATAGTATTAACTTATTATGTGAATAGTTTATATTTTTATCAAGTTTTATTATGAATATAATCATTATCATTAATTTAAATTTAAAAGTTAATTGAGTGTCAAATAATTGAGAAGAAGTCAATAGAAAAAAGCCAAATTTTTTCTAAATAAAAGTTTTTTTGACTTTAAGCTTAAATATTTCAACAACTATTTTATTAAATTTAATAATTTTTTTTATTTTAATTTTATATAATTTCAAGATTAAAATAAAAAAATTTTTAGCAGATTTAATTAAATAGTT